AAAGCACCTTTGGAACAACCATGACAAGGATGACAGATAATCTCCATAGATATCATCAGTTTAGAATCCCTGCAATTCCATAAGGGACTCAAGTCCATGCCCCTCCCCCCTTAAATTTCAATGACTCTTAACTAGGACCAGTTTAGTTCGTGTGTATAGGCTGTATTAATAAATCCTTTGTGCTTAAAATTAATTAATGATCCTGGTTCTTTGCACCTGACAGCATTTATCGAAATATAAAAAAAATAAGTTTCCTGAAGTTCTCATAGAACATCTAAAAAAGAAAAGCCCAAAGCCAACAATGAAACAAGATGAGAAGATTTCTGATCCTGAGTCCACTGAAACCACGTTCACAGATTAAGACTGAAGGAGAATTAGTGTTCCTTCACCAGAGAAAGTTTGCACAGTCACAGATACAAGATAATCCAATAATTTGATACAATTAGGATGTGATAAGCATCAGGCATGTATTCCCTAGCCATGTATTCAACTTGAGTGCCCTGTCAAATGTGAAGGGAATGTTAATATACCATTAGGTGGTGTGTATTTAAGAAACCACATTCCCCATTCTTTTCAAGAAACGATAAAAACGTTCTAGAAATAGCTTTCGTATCACAATGTATTGCATTGCCAAAAGCGTTGTGTTTTCTACTGAAGGCAGTTTCCACATTTAGTGGCAACTTTTCAAGTAATTAGTCATCAACGGTTGTTTTGCGTGGGGATATATGTGTGAGGCCTCTGAATCAGGATGGATTCAAGCAAGGGAATATGAATCTGCTTTCTTTATGTAATACCTGCAAACCAAAGAACGGAATATAAAGAATAGGGAAATCAGGACTTGTTGACTTGCAAAGTTCTGTATTTTGGAATTATTACCTGTTGTAATATAGCAAGAACATACAGGTAGTCCTCAAGTAAATGCTCCAACACTGGAAGTTTTTAAGAAGAGACTGGACAGCCATTTGTCCGAAATGGTGTAGGGTTTCCTGCCTGAGCAGGGGGTTGGACTAGATGACCTCCAAGGTCCCTTCCAACTTTACTACTATTACTATTACTAATTTACGGCCGCAGTTGAGCCGTAAATTTCTATTGCTAAGTAAGACTTTTCTTAAGTGCCTTTGCCTCCTTCCTAGGATTGAGAGAAAGTGACTGGTCCAAGGTCTCCCAGCTGGCTTTGTACCTAAGGTGGGAGTAGAACTCACAATAACCTGGTTTCTAACCGGATACCTTAACCATTACACAAAACTGGCTCTCATGTAAATGCCACAACTAACAGTACCAAGCCACAATCCCTTTTTATTAATTTAATTTGCATGCCGCCCATTTCTATAGCAAGCAACTTTGGTCTGTTCTACTGTTGAGAAACTGCCAGCCAGGTTGGAAGGAGGGGACAAAGAGGGAATTAGCCTCAGGTCCTTGCTCAGCCACAAGAGGCGTAAATCTCACCCCACCTCCCCAGATACAAGAATTTATCTCTGTTTGTTCCCAGGGTAAAGCAAGTAGTCTGGGGAAATTCTTGTATTCTAGATAATGATGATGATGATAATGATGATAATGATGATAATGATAATAATAATGATAATAATAATGATAATAATAATAATAATAATAATCCACATCTGCCTATCCCAGGTCCTGGGTAAGAACTCGATAGGTAGACAAAATGCCAAATCCAGTCTGAACATCTGGCTGACTGTGCGATGATCGACAATAATAATAATAATAATGATAGTAGTAGTAGTAGTAGTAGTAGTAGTAGTAGTAGTAGTAGTAGTAGTAGTAATAAAGTTGGAAGGGATCTTGGAGGTCATCTAGTCCAACGAAACCCTATACTATTTCAGACAAATGGCTGTCCAGTCTCTTCTTAAAAGCTTCCAGTGTTGGAGCATTCACCACTTCTGGAGGCAGGTTGTTCCACTGGTTAATTGTTCTAACTGTCAGGAAGTTTCTTCTTAGTTCTAGGTTGCTTCTCTCTTTGGTTAGTTTGCATTCATGGCTTCTTTAGGTGCTTTGGAAAATAGTTTGACCCCCTCTTCTTTGTGGCAGCCCCTGAGATAATGGAACACTGCTATCATGTCTCTCCTGGTCCTTCTCTTCATTAAACTAGACATATCCAATTCCTGCAACTGTTCTTTATACGTATGTTTTAGTCTCCAGTCCCCTAATCATCTTTGTTGCTCTTCTCTGTACTCTTTCTAGAGTCTCAAGGTAGTTAACAATAAAGCTGCTTGCTTTAGCTATTCATGAGTGGCTCTGTTTGCTGACATTTGCAGACGTTATGTGCAGGCTAGGAATGCTCGTACACCATAAGTAGGAATATACAATGCCATCCCTATCCCTACCCCATTTTTCTGGTCCTTGCTTTCTTTCATCCCATTTCTCCCTATTTAACCTGTTTTTAAAAACTCCGCCCACACGTGCATATACACATGCATGCACACAAACCTCTTTTCCTAATATGCTCATTTTGATAGGACGGTTTGTGTGTTAAGATGAGGGACATGGTTTGTGTGTTATTTTGTACTAATTTGCATATGCATGGTGGGGGTTGTGAATGTAAAGTTTGGAAAGGGATGAATACGAAAAAATAAATGCCTTTTTGTTAGTGCAGGTAGTCCTTGACTTACAATAGTTCATTTAGTGATCGTTCAAACTTGCAACGGCACTGGAAAAAGTGACTTATGACCATTTTTCACACTTACAGCCGTTGCAGCCCCCCCATGGTCATGTGATCAAAATTCAGGCACATGGCAACTAACTCATATTTATGACGGTTGCAGTGTCCCGGGGTCATGTGATCCCCTTTTGCGACCTTCTGCCGGGCAAAGTCAGTGGGGTGTTGCTAACTTAACAACTGCAGTGAATCCCTTAACAACTGTAGCAAGAAAGGTCATAAAATGGGATGAAACTCACTTAACAAATGTTTAAACTTAGCATCGGAAATATGGAGCTCAGCTGTGGACGTAAGTCGAGGACTACCTGTATATTGCTTTGGGAAGGGCAAATTAGATATGTTTGCAGGTGAACAAGAGCTGCAGTAACAACAGGGTCAAGCATCTTTAGTTCTTTGAAATAACCCCGTGGTCCTGCAGGGCTGGAATTTAGTTCGGCCTTCCTATACAGTACAGTACAGGATCTCTGTTGGGGTCCCCAATGTAGCTTATGGTGAAGAAATATCGACAAAATAGTCTAAAGAGCAAACACTTTGACATTTGTAATGTCCACTGGAAGACCTTGTGTATATTTACCCTGAAAGAATAAGAGCAGAATATCAATTTTTTTTTTTACCCAATCTTACAGCTGGGTTGTTCTTCTTTTTCTTATTCAATGTCAAAAAAGTCTTTGCAACAGACATGAAGTCATAGAGAAGTTGATGATCTGTTTTCCCCATAAGGCTTTCCTATCTGTAAATTATTTGTTTGTTTGTTTTTAACGGGAGAACTGACTGGCTGCCCCAGCTTCTACCTTGTTATTTTCCCAATTTTCAAATGCCATAGGTATAGTTTTTATAACTGTAAGTTGAAAAGCATTTTGTACAAGCTAAAATATTATTTTCCCTCTTCTCCTACTAACAGGTGAAGTTGGAAGAAATTTTCAACTTTTTTTTTTTTTAAATCTATAAAGTCCATCCTGAATTTTGCTATTCATGGGCTCCAATTTAACTGGGAAAATTATAAAATAAATTCCAGAATTATATCTAAACTCACATCTAGAATGTATATAGAATTTTTTAATTCTTTGTAGCTTCTCCCTTTATTGTTTTTATCATTTATTTATTAAACCAATTTATCCAGCTGCCCATCTCACAAACAAGCAACTCTGTATGGTGTATGACAGAACCACAGATACTCTTCGACTTACAACAGTTCATTTAGTGACCGTGCAAAGTTACAGTGGCGTTGAAAAAAGTACCTTATGACCATTTTTCACACTTACGACTGTTGCAGCGCCCCTATGGTCACATGATCAAAATTCAGACGCTTGGCAACTGACTTGTATTTATGATGGCTGCAGGGTGTCCTGGGGTCACGTGATTCCCCGTTTCTCTTAGCAACATAAATTTGGGGCTCAATTGTGATTGTATGTTGAGGACTACCTATAAAAACAATTAAAAAGTAGGTTAGAAAGTATAAAAACCAGGTTTGTATAGACTCATAAAACAGTACAAAAAAGTATGCTACGTACTGTCGCATCAACAAAGTTAAAAATGTTCTCTCTTAGGTCCAGTGTATTTTTTTGATTCCAGAGTTTTGTCAGGGTAAGAGCAAACATTATTTAAAAGTTGCCTGTCCTAGAGAACTAAGAATTGTGGCCTGTAAGATCCTGGTAATTACAGGGTTGATCCACTTACAAAATTTTGAGAAGTTTGCCTACTTATTTGAGTATAGTTTTTCACACTAAGCCCAATGGCTCAGTTTAGTATCTGCATTGCTAAACAGCTCCTGTAATAAAGGCAGGCTTTTAATTTTCTAATAAGTGAGGAAGCCCTTTCCTTCATCCTTGTTGCTTTATGAGATTTATTGTTATTCTTGTTGATGGTTTTTATGTTTTATTAAAGATTGGGTTTGGGGAAAAAATCTGGCTTAATTTAAATTGTGAATCTGTCTGTTAAGAAATACATTAGGGGTAGAAGAAGCATAAGACATATTAATTGACAGACAGGAACTGCTGTCTCTGAGGTTGATACAAGTAATTTATTACTTTAGAAATGAATGCCACCTCCAGAATGTGCTTCATTAATTTCAAATTTAGTTTTAATTTCAAGCTGTTGCCCCTTGAGAAGAATAAGGTGGCAAATTATGTTTGAAGAGCAGATTTTTTTTCTCCTCCTTCCCCTCTTCCTCTTGCTTGGAAGAAATGCTAAATTTTGACTTTTTAATTTTAATAAATAAATGCAGTTCTTTGAATGAAACATGCCAACTGCTGATAGAAACGGAGACTAGCAGTCACTAACTGTGTGTTTTATTATCTGTTTTTTTTTCTCTCTCTCTGCTATGTAGCTTATGTTTCGGATGAGTTGAAAGCGGCCGCCATGGTGGACGATGACTTGGAACCAGAGGAGACCACGTTTGATGGAGAACCTTCTGCAAAATACGCCTGTCCAGAAAAGGACTTCAGCAAGAATTGCCAGAGCTATCAGAACTCTCCAGTGGCCGAATTTTCCAGCCATGAAATGGACAGCGAGTCTCATATCAGCGAGACGAGTGACCGAATGGCCGATTTTGAGAGTGGCTCCATCAAAAATGAAGAGGAGAGCAAAGAGGTTTCCATACCGCTGGAAGAATCTGTGGTGTCAGACAGTTTGGAGCAGATGAAGGCCGTCTACAATAACTTCCTCTCCAATTCCTACTGGTCCAGCCTGAATTTGAATCTCCACCAGCCAGCCGTCGAAAAAAACAATGGCAGCAGTAGCAGCAGCAGTAGCAGCAGCAGCAGTTGTGGCAGTGGCAGCTTCGATTGGCATCAAACCGCCATGGTCAAAACCTTACAAGTGTCCCAGAACCGAATTCTTCCTGAGCCCAGTCTTTTTAGCACAGTTCAATTGTACAGGCAGAGCAGTAAGCTTTACGGCTCCATCTTTACTGGAGCCAGTAAATTCCGCTGTAAAGACTGTAGCGCAGCCTATGATACTTTGGTGGAATTAACAGTGCACATGAATGAAACGGGACATTATCGAGACGACAACCACGAAACAGATAACAACAACCCCAAAAGATGGTCTAAGCCTCGTAAACGCTCCTTGCTTGAAATGGAAGGGAAAGAAGATGCCCAGAAAGTATTAAAGTGCATGTACTGTGGCCACTCCTTTGAATCGCTTCAAGACTTGAGTGTGCATATGATAAAAACAAAACATTACCAAAAAGTGCCTCTGAAGGAACCCGTAACCCCTGTTGCAGCAAAAATCATCCCCGCCACTCGAAAAAAAACCTCGCTGGAATTAGAACTGCCAAGTTCTCCAGACTCTACTGGGGGGACCCCCAAAGGGACTCTTTCCGATGTCAACGACCCACTTCAAAAGAATTCCAATCCTTACATTACACCCAACAACCGCTATGGACACCAGAACGGTGCCAGCTACGCCTGGCATTTTGAAGCGAGGAAATCTCAAATTCTCAAGTGCATGGAGTGTGGCAGTTCCCACGATACCTTGCAGGAACTCACGGCCCACATGATGGTGACAGGACACTTCATTAAAGTCACCAACTCGGCCATGAAGAAAGGGAAAACCATTATAGAGTCTCCTGTCACGCCAACCATCACAACGTTGCTCGACGAGAAAGTACAGTCTGTGCCTCTTGCAGCCACAACCTTCACCTCTCCTTCCAACATGCCGTCCAGTGTCTCCCCAAAATTAAACATGGAAATCAAGAAAGAAATTGAGAAGGACAGAACAGCTGCTGAAGATAAGGTGAAAGACAAAGAAAAATTAAGCGAAGATGAGGAAAAATATGATATCTCCTCCAAATATCATTACCTGACAGAAAATGACTTGGAAGAAAGCCCCAAAGGGGGACTAGATATTTTAAAGTCATTAGAAAATACAGTCACTTCAGCTATTAACAAAGCCCAGAATGGCACACCAAGCTGGGGTGGATATCCCAGTATTCATGCTGCTTATCAGCTGCCCAACATGATGAAATTATCCCTAGGATCATCAGGCAAGAACACTCCTTTGAAGCCCATGTTTGCACATGCTGAATTGGTGTCTCCTACTAAAAGTCAGCCCCTGATTTCACCTCCAAATAGCCAAACCTCCCCTGTGTCCAAAACAAATTTTCATGCCATGGAAGAGTTGGTGAAGAAGGTCACTGAGAAGGTGGCCAAAGTGGAGGAAAAACTGAAGGAACCTGAAGTGGGAAAACTTTCACCCTTGAAGAGAGCCACCCCTTCGCCCTGTAGCAGTGAGGTCAGTGAACCCCTCAAGATGGACACTTCCAGTGACATGGGGTTCAAAAGCCACCAGAATAGCCCAGTTCCTCAGAGGGAGAGCTGCAGAGACAGCCCAACTGGAGAACCGATGGAAAACGGCAAAGAGATTGTCAAGAAAATCGCAAATACTTTGACCAGCAGTACAGCTATTATTACTGACCATCCTCCGGAGCAACCCTTTGTGAATCCATTAAGTGCATTACAGTCTGTCATGAACATTCATCTTGGGAAGGCAGCGAAACCTTCTCTTCCTGCCCTAGACCCCATGAGCATGCTTTTCAAAATGAGCAACAGCTTAGCAGAAAAGGCAGCTGTAGCAACACCGCCCTTGCAGCCCAAAAAACCAGATCACTTAGACCGTTATTTTTATCATGTCAATAATGACCAGCCCATAGATTTGACGAAAGGGAAGAGTGACAAAAGCTGCTCTTTGGGTTCAGCGCTTTTGTCAACCACATCAGCGTCTTCAGCATCTTCTTCATCTACAGTGACAACAGCAAAGACATCTGCGGTTGTGTCATTTATGTCAAACTCGCCGCTCCGCGAGAATGCCTTGTCAGATATCTCGGATATGCTCAAGAACCTGACAGAAAGTCACACATCAAAATCTTCCACGCCTTCCAGCCTCTCCGAGAAATCTGACATTGATGGCACGACAATTGAGGAACCGGAAGAAACCACCCCGGCTCAGAAAAGGAAGGGACGCCAGTCAAACTGGAATCCTCAGCATTTACTCATCCTGCAAGCCCAATTTGCTGCTAGTTTGCAGCAGACGTCGGAAGGGAAATACATTATGTCGGACTTGAGCCCTCAAGAGAGAATGCATATTTCCAGGTTTACGGGACTCTCAATGACCACCATTAGCCACTGGTTGGCCAATGTGAAATACCAACTCCGAAGGACAGGGGGGACAAAATTCCTTAAAAATTTAGACACCGGGCATCCGGTGTTCTTTTGTAACGACTGTGCTTCTCAAATCAGAACTCCTTCAACGTACATCAGTCACCTGGAGTCACATCTAGGTTTCAGATTACGAGACTTGTCCAAACTCTCGAGTGAGCAGATTAACAATCAGATAGCACATACCAAGTCATCTTCTGAAAAACTGTTGGCACCTTCACCAGAGGAAGAGCTGGGAACTTCCTACCAATGTAAACTTTGCAACAGGACTTTTGCAAGCAAGCATGCTGTTAAGCTTCATCTCAGTAAAACACATGGGAAATCTCCCGAGGACCATCTTCTTTATGTCTGTGAATTGGAAAAACAGTAGCATTAACTCCCCCCCTTTCTTTTTAACAGACATGCTACCCGAACAACTGTACTTGGCTTTGAGGAAAACTGTCAGATATGCTGTTGAGTTTATCCTTTGCCCCTTTCCCACTCCTGTTCTTGGCACATAATTGTTATTTTAACTCTGGGGTGTCACTAGCCTGGACGACTGTCTTTTTTTATATATAACTGTATAGTGTTTAATAGAGGTACATAATCAGCTATTGTTACTGGTAAAAATATGAAGGTTAAAAACTCAGTGGTAAGTGTTTGGAACTTTGTGTAAATTGGGGTTTTTAGTTGCTGTGCATCACTGTGATGCCTCAAGCTGCATGCATTGACAAGACCGTTTACTTAAGCATTTATTAACTAAAATCATGGTACACTCTTTAAATGGCAAATGAAGTGTGCCGGCTGTTTCTCACCTGTAAATCTTTAGCCCTCTGAGTACTTTGAAGCACTTTTGCATTAATTTGGTTTCCTTTTTTTCTAAAAAAAAATATAGACATGTTTTCTTCTGTTTTTTTTTTTTTTTTTAAATCCTGTTCTGGCTTAGAATTTCTTTTTTTTTGGTCAAGGCAACAAGCTTAAACAAAAAAGTATCAGCAGCCAGTCATGGTATCATGTGATGTTTGCAAGGACACTTTCCTCTTGAGATATTGCAAGAACTGTCACCACTTTGATATGTGGACCAATTGAGCAGAAGAGTGGTGGCAGTTCTTGAGATGTCCCAAATAGGGATGGATGAACCATACAGTTCCAGACTGTTAGTCTTTTTTTCAGAGCACACCAGTCCAGATGTTCTGAAGAAGAACCAGTAGTTTTCTGGAAGAAGATCTTCCAGAAGAGGAAATGACTCATGATGAGCCTAATTGTTTCCTTGTCTATAGGAAACCTACTTATAGAACACTACTGGACCATTCCGATATTGGATGATTGAGATGGTGTTCCCTATGGACCATTCTCTTCCTAAGGGAGTGTTTTTACATCCCTGCCTTGTTTCAATGCTGCCAATATTTATAACACATAGTTTACAAGTTGTATTAGCTCATTCTACTGCTTCTTCCATTGGTTCTCATGGGGAGGGGAGGAGCTGTCTTCTGAGACTAGAATGCAGCCTTTTCTGAAGGCCTTTTGAGTGGGTCCCTCGCCCCCTCTTCAGCTCTACATTCACCAATGAATTCAGGGTACAGGAAGAGTGGAATCTGCAGGTTTCCAAGTAAGTTAAAAACTGGGATTTAATAAAAGGATTGAAGAGGTTCTGAACACATTGGCTTTTTCTTTGGTCAAATCTGCTTCCTCCTTGCCTCTCCCACGTGTTCCCTCAGGCATGTCATAGAACAGTGTTTCTTAACCTTGACAATTTTAAAGCATGTGGACTTCAACTCCCAGAATTCCACAGCCAGCAATGCTGGCTGTGGAATTCTGGGAGTTGAAGTCCACATGCCTTAAAATTGTCAAGGTTGAGAAACACTGCCATAGAAGATCCCAACTTGGCCCTTGAACTCTCAGGGGTTTGTAGGTCCATAATTAATATAGACCGACCAACCTTTCCATTTGACTTCCTGCATGGATGGATGGGTGGGCTAGTGTCTGACTAGCAGCTTTTGCATCTGAACAGATTGATATGAGATCTGGTTCCTAAGGTCCATACCTGGATATGTCCTTTGTTGAAATAAATTAATAATCCTCTGTCTATGCAGGGGTGTGGCACCCATCGTGAGATTTGAAAATATATTATTTTCACATTGAAACGTGTGTATATATTGTACAGATTTCAGAATCCACTAATGAAAAAAAAATGTGATTGTGGACAATACCATTTTTCTTCTTTGACATTTTTATCAATGATGGGTTTTCTACCTAATATGCTCTTGAGTCTAAGTGGTACCTATAAATATATAAATATATATATATAAATATATAAAATAATAATGTATATTTCTTTTCTAGGTCAAAAGGTTTTCTTTTAACATCTGAACAATGTAAATTATATGAAAGATACAACAGATAGCATTTATAAAGTATTCAGAAACATTATTCTTGAAGCAAAGTATGATCATTGTTTCATTTTGTTTGCTATATACAGTACATCTATATTGATAGAGGTTCATGTTTAAATTATACATATTTATTAGTTATTTGCTACCTTTTTTTAAAAAAAAAAGAACATTCTGATAACGAAGCCACGGACTGGCGTGCATTAGAACTATTTTGCACAACACAAATTTTAAAGGTATTTATTAGTAAAATAATAATAATAAAAAATCAAACAATAATTAATTCAAGACAAAGTTCAAAATCAACTCAGTGCTCAAAGGGTTAAATCTATTTGGGGGTGGGAGAATTGGAGGAGGGAAAAATCTTGTACTGTATTTCCTAAACATTGATAAAAAAAAAGAGCCTTTAAAACGTTTGTACTGTAATACTTTGCTTAAAACTTATGAGGCATTCTGTGATATAACCTCTTAATTATTTATATGACTCTTGGTTGTTATTTCCTATCTAGAATGCCTTCTGTCTCATTTTATTTCTCTCTCTTTTCAGTTGGTAACTTTCTGTTTTGTTCTTCCTAATTATTCTCCCAAGATTTCATACTGCAGTTTTATCTTTAAGCATATAAAAGGTAACCCGTGGTTACCGGCACACTAAGTGATTCTGTTCGTCTCCATTTTTGGCGGTTAATTTGCAGAAGTAACTGACAGCTGACACCATATGAAAATCTATGTGTACAATATTGGCATGTAAACAGCACAGACCCCAAACTGCACACTCTGTGCCCCGTTCTGTTGTTGACAATGTGGCACCATGATATGACTCTTCATATAACATTTTTTTTTCCTACAGCCGGATTAAAATTGTCTTTTTTGCTATAATGTTGTGTCGCACTCACAATTATATCTGAAATGTGCTACGACTAATGAGCACATTAAAATTAAATTGTATGCTTGCTGTTTATGATGGAAACTTGAGGAAGTTTTTTTTTTTTTTTTTCCGTCTGCCAGGTGCTGGCAGGCGAAAATTCTACATAAAATACTGGAGTTTTTGTGAACTTTAGCATTTAAAGAGCAGAGGGACAAATATTCGAAGGCTGAATTTAAAAAAAAAACAACCACTCCCACCTCCCTACCGTTACTGAATAAAGTGGAGATTATATCTTCTCCTTTTTCTTTGAGTGCAAAGAACAAAGGTTATAAGCAGTGTTAGTGAGGAAACAATGCCAAGGGTATGTTAATATCTAATAAGATCCTGATCCAGAGTGGCTTTTAAACGGATGATTACAGTTCTAGGATTTCATTTTGATCTTCATTAACATATGCAAATGTAAATCTTTCTGGATCTTGGGTGGTTAAGGTAAAGAAGAAGAAGGAGGAGGAGAAGGAAGGAAGGAAGGAAGGAAGAAAGAAAGAAAGAAAAAGAAAGGAAGGAAGGAAGAAAAGAAAAGAAAAGAAAGAAGGAAGGAAGGAAGGAAGAAAAAAGAAGGAAGAAAGGAAGGAAGGAAGAAAAGAAAAGAAAGAAAAAGATTCTAGCCACTGCTTAATGTTAGTGTCCACATAGTTCATTCTGAGGTATCCTCAACTATGAGAGATATTTGAAACTGCAGCTCTGTTTAAGCCATTCTTCTCCAACCCAATTCCCTCTAAAAGAAGTTGGGCTCCAGCCCCCAAATTGGAATTCTAACTATCTGAATCCCAACACCTGGAATGTTCCAGGGTAATGGAAGAAAATGGAAAGCTGCATCAGTGAAACAATATTTTTATATTCAGTTTAAGCGACATAAACTTTATAATTTTCATGCATCTACCTAAATAGAATATGAAACTCCATTTAAGAATAGGTTAAGGATAGATTAAGCATATTCAGCTAGCCAGATGCAGTTATTGGTGGTTATTGGCATATGCCCCAGTGCTGCAGGGTGAACAGAAAGTGAGTCCTTAAGATGGAAATGTGGTTTCTTCCACTGCCTTCCAGCGGTTTTCCTTCACACTTTCAATTTCCAAATGACACTTGTTCCTTCTCAAGGAGGCAAAATAGAATCTCAATGGTATTTTTTTCCCCAAAAGGCAACTGGATGGTTTTTTTCACTTCTCATTCAAGAAGCTTCATCAGTTCTGATCATCTGAGCATCAGAATTGGTGAAGCTTCTTGGCTGAGAAGCAAAATGTTTTCTGCTCCCTCAAGGAAAAAAACAACAGTCCTGTTGCCCTTTGAAGAAAAAAAAAAGCATCCTTGAGACAACTATGATCTGGAAGACTGGGAATCTCCACAGACGTTGAGCAAAATATTCATTTTCCAGAAGAGAGTCGCCTACGATGAGTTGAAGTGAGAGGATGAGTGAAATCACGAGAAGTAAAAAAGAAGATCTTTAAATCAACAATACAGGAAGATGACCCTAGGTTAACCCCACCCAAGTTGTGGCTTGTCCTTGCAGACTGTATATCTTTGCAGCCATCAAATTTACACAGTATCTTAAAATAACATTTGTGATAAATGTGCAATTTAACTAATTTATGGTACTCTGATCTGCTCAGGGCTACAGGGAAGATGAAAATCTTAAATGGAGCTTGAACAGCTCACTTCTCAAGACAAAATCAATATGCTGGATCTAAGGGGGGGAAAAAAGCTCAAATGAAGACAATGTTTTAGCGTGGGCATCCACGCACCCCTCGCTTTGAATGAATAAATAAATAAATAGAGAGAGAGAGATAAATAAATAAATCCCGTGAACCCATCTTTAACTTTTCAGCATAGCCCGGGTTCTGTAATTAATTGAAATCTTGCATGTAGCGATCTCTGCGGCAACTTCATTATATTTTCTTTTGGCATCAGAAATTGCAACTTGGCTGTTTTAATTATACCGTTGCCTTCATCGCGCCAACGACATTGTCATTTTTCTATCTGGAAGAAGGCAGCTTTTGCATTGTTTAAAAACTGTAATGTTCATAATATTAGGCTAATCTATTTCTTTTTTCTTTTTAAAAATATCTTTGTGAGTAAATACTCAGATAATTGACTTTAAAAAGAAAAGAAAAGAAAAGAAAAAATGAAGGAAGGAAAAATCTGTTTCAAAAATTCCAGGGCAAAATGGAGTTTAGATTTTTTTTTTTAATGACATATTTATATCGTTGTTTCATTAAATGTTCAAAATACGGCGAGGGTGGATAAAAATACGAATGCTAACATTTCAGATGAATATTTATTGGTTTTTATTTTAGTACTGTGGCACATTTTTTTCCCAGATCTTTTTCAGATGCAAGGCTGCATTCTTTTTTTCACTGACTCACTAGGATCCACCCCTACACACAGAGAGAGACACACAGACACACACAGAGATACACACACACACACACACACACACAGAGAGAGAGAGAGAGAGAGAGAGAGAGAGAGATCCATACAAACAAAGATACACACATAAATAGTCAATGGCA